CACTGTACCCTCTCTGTGTTTTGGTTTCCTTATCTCTAAAATGGGAGTAATACTATCTGATGTGTAGACCTCAAAGCTTAGTTTGGAGGATGCAGTGAGGTGAGGTATGGGGAAGCCTTCTGGAAAGTGCTATACATAGGTGAAATGTTATCATCATAGGAAAGAAGGGGAGACATGAGATGTGAGGGGAAAACAGGGCTTTCAAATCTAGCAGGCCTTGTAGATTAGGCTTGTGCAAACAATGATGAAAATAAATACAGGGAGAGGCATTATACTCCCTTTTATTAATAAGAATGGGGAGACTGGGAAAAGTGAGGACAGGGAGTGTGGCCAGCAAGCTCTAGGTAGACAGAGTGGGAGAACATCTATAAGTTCTACTTTTATTACTATTTTCTTTAAAGCCTGGAAAGATCTCATCAAAAATGAACATGTTTGAGAAGTACCCATGTTAGACTCTGAATTCTTAGGCTGTGGGAATATACTAACTCACTCTGATTGAGAGGATTGGCTTTATTTTGCAATCCAGTAGGCATCAGAATAACATACCTGCCTTTCTTCTTGAAATTTTGTCAAGATTAAACAAAATAATTTATGTCAAATTGTTTTTGATGAACTGCAATGATGAACTATAAATTATAGTACAAAATGATAATATGGTGACTCTGTTGATGCTAGTTATTCCTGTAACAGTTATATTTATTTTTTCTTCAAAATGATTACTGTATACATTTTTTAAATTATAAAAATCAAATGTGCTTACAAAAATTTAGATGTACCAAAAGGTATAATTAAGAAAATAAAAATCAAATAGAATCCTGTTACCAAGAGATAAGAATTAACAATATTTTGGTGAATGGTCATCCATACTTTTTTGGTGTTTGTGAATAATTAAAAAAAAATCAAAACAGATTTGTTAATTTTTCACTCATTCTTTAATTTGTTCACATTTATGTATTAGTAGATAGAATGCTAATCATGTAGTTTATAATTTCTTGAGGGAATCAAACAAACAGATGATTATTATGTAAAATGAAGCATGCTACAATGGGGAAGCAGTGGGTGCTTGGGAGCATTTAGGAGGAGCTCCTTTCCTTGGCTTAGGGAGTCAAGGGAAGCTTTCTCGAGGAAGGGACCTCTAGGTTGAGACCTGAAAAATGACTAGAGGTAACTAGACTGTAGCGGATGGTGTGGTGTGCCACCAGATACCTCTTAAAGGACTGGGCCACTTATCCCGCAGGTGGCAGTAGTCTTGCCTTTGATGGCTCTTAGCTGAAGTCCTATCCAGGAATTGCCTTCTGCTGAAGGAAGCTGCCTTGCTCAAGGTTATCTCATTGCCACAGACAGGTGGGGTAAAAGGGCCACCTCCTTGCCTCGATTAGGACAATTCTAAAGGGCCATCCTAGTTCCAAACCTCCTCAGAGGTTCAGCTGAGGCCTCAGTTGCACCTCCATGGCAGTTTAACTTTTCCCTCTGCCAAATCCTGCTTCCCTTCTTCTTTATAGATGTTGTTTCCAAGAGCAGCGCCCAACAAAAGTCCTGCACAGAAACCCTCACCTCAAAAAAAGAAAAGAATGGTAATTATGGTGAGGATGCAGGGAGTATGTTACTAAAAGATGAAATGGCATGTTCAAGGCCTAGAGGTGTTTGAGGAGAGAAAGGATTTTTACAAAGTCTGGAATGTGGGATTGAAGTCAGTGGGGGAGGGACATGATTCCAGAAAGAGAATCCAGCTCTTGTAATCCATGTTTTGGAAATGGGGAATTTGGGCTTTATTGTAAGGCCAATGGGACACCCTTTAAGGTTGTACATCATGGAAGAAACATGATCTGATTTGTGTTTTAGAAGAATCATTTTGGTTGCTCTGTGGTGCCATTAATGAAAACTCTTGTTATTATGATTACTGTATGTTTTATTAGAATATTGGAGTGACTCATGACTCCTTCTACATGTCATACCTTTACAGAATGAATGACAAACTGTAAGCCCCCCAGGCAAGTCATGTAATAAACACCAGTATTGTAGCAGTATTGTAAAAACTCAAACTCTGAAGGGATTCAATCACAGCGCTTCAGTCTTTTTTTTTTTTTTAACTTGGTTTACACTGTTTTAAGTATTTAATGAGCACTAACTACTTGCCAGAATGCACTGTGCTGTTGCTGTGGAGGATTCAAGCCAAAAGGTCCAAGTAGAAGGTTGTGCCTGTCTTCTCCATTGCTCTACCCACTGTAGTGCCTGACAAATAGTGAGGGATAAATAAATAAATAAACGAAGGTGGAGTCTCAGAAACGGGCAAATTACTTAGTCCTCATGACCACAAAATGGGGATAGTAGTGGCTTCTGACTCTTCAGTTTGTTGTGAGGGATAAGTAAGATAATGTAGATAAAACACTTAGTTCACAGGCTATTTAGCAAAAATCATAGTTACTGAAATCATTCAAGGACTGTTTGTTGCTCTCAGTATTCTAGAAATAAGACCTTAAATGATTACAACCAAACTTCTGATATCAATTTCTCTTTTGTCCTCTTCACTCTGTAATATCACTTTGAAAGAAAAATGTGATTTGAAACAAGGTTAAAAGATTCATTCACTCATTACTTTATTCAATGAATTGGTTTTGAGGGCATCCAAAGTGCCGGATATAGGTTATACAGTGGGAATAGAACAGACATAATCCTTGTTCTCATGGAGCTTATAGTCTAGAAGGGAGATGTTAAAAGAAAATTTCATAAATTATAAGAACCAAAGCGGTCTGCCATGAGAGAAGATAATAGAAAGAAACTAATTTTGATGTGGGAATCAGGTAAGGCCTCTCTGAAGAAGTGACCTTTAATCTGAGAAGTAAGAGTAGGAGTTTCATTAGGAATAGAGATAAAGCACTCCATGCAGAAGGAAAACCCTGTTCATAGACGCTGGGGTAGAAAAAACTGCTTGATCCATTAAAATGATGGAGAAAAAGCCACGTGTCAGAGAGGAGAGAGATGAAGCTGGAAAGAAGGCGGGGACAGATCTTCAGGACCTTTGTTGCCACATGATCTTTCTTTATCCAGACTAAAAGGATACACAAACTGACTAAAATCTGACTGCCCTCTATTTCAGAGTAAGTTCTTGATGCCGGTTAAATAGGAGGATAGGTAAAACTGCAGTCTGAACAGTCGTATCTAAGTCTTGGGAAAAGTTGGCTGTTTTTTCCCATGTAGTCATCATGATGAATGAAAAAGCATATAGCAAAGGTGCTTAGTTGTTTGATGAGAGAACAAATATATTTGCAGAAATATACTGCATATTGTTCTACCTACATTTCAGATAGGGTGGAAATATTCACAAGTCTTTTTCTCTTTCCCTCCTGCCCAACCCCCTTTTTTTCTTGCATTTGTTTCTTTCAGCAGAAATAATCAATGAGAGTAGGGGACAATTTAGAATCAAGATGCTGCGGTGGTTTCCGAGGAAACACAGGAGAATTTTGGGTGCCATAAGTGTTTGGGTAGTGGCTTGCATAATGGATTTGCTTAGAGAGGCGTCTCTCTCAGTGATTAGAACAACCTGTGTTCTGGAATACAGTATTTAAACAGCGAGATTGGCATTGTTATCTTCCAGGATGGTAAAGGTTTAATTAACATTTGAAAATGCTTTGAGATCTTTGGATAAAAGTGTTCTGGAAACATGAAGTGTTATTATCTTTGGAGTGATATAGGTCATGTGACACAGGAAGTGGCTTTGAAGGAAAGGAAAACCTTTCATCAGGCAAACTCCTTAGGGTGGTTTGAGCCTGTTTTGAGTGACTCAACATGCCCGTGTCATCTCTCCCTAGACTGTGAATGAAAGGAATAACTTGGCCTACAGCTTAGCAACTGCCACCATCATTAACCGAAAAATTTAGTAAGCTTGTATGTTAAACACTCTACAAATTACGCAGAATCCTAAAGTATTTAGCACAGTTATCCTTTAATAAGCATTGAATAAATATTAACTTACTTTTTATTATTAGCTGTTACTGTTATTATATTATAATATTACTTGTTACTATTATTGTTATAGTTGAAGACCTCTGGATTTTCTCTGAATTTAATGCCATTTAAACAAAGAATTTAGTATTCTTCAGTGATAAACCAACTTTACTTTCATTTTCGAGACTTGGTAAAGAGCAAAATAAATGTAAACTGTCACTGTAGAGACCATAATGTGAGGGCTACAGATAAGGCAGGTTTAGTGTCTGGAACCTTTCCTGGAAGATTGGCTACTTAGTCTTTCCCTTTCCCAGGAAAAAGGACCCAAAGCTGAAATTAGGTTTCCTAACTTTAGTTCCTTGATGGTTCCCCAGGGTCTTCAGTAGACAGGATTTCAAAGAGAACACTTTAAAGTAGTTCCAATTTATTTAAGAGTAGAAGGGCCGAAGGATTTCATCCTGCTCCTTCTATTAACTTACGTGTCTTCATAATACTGCCTGGAAATGTGGAAGATGGGACAGGGATTGGAGTGGAGAACAGGAATATGGTTCATTTGAAAAAAGTTTATTTTTGAGGAATATATATGTTAAACCAAACCTGTCCATGTGTATTCGTGAAATTAATTTTGCCAGCTAGATGACCCAGGGTCTTTATAAATATACAAATTTGTCTCAAACATTATATATATACATGCACACATACATATATTTATTTATGTATTTTTTACAAAGCAAAACTGCTTTTGAAGAACATAGCACAGGAGGGAAGGAGAGAGAGGGAATCAAGAAAACGGTGTCTGGCAAGAGGCTATCGACAACCGGCTAGGGAGTCTAAGGGTGCAGGAGAGAGCGGGGAGCATGCTGGGAAGGCGGCTGCCCGGAGCATGCTGGGATCGTGGCTGTCCGGGGCATGCTGGGAAGGCTCCCAGAACTGCTTATCCGGCTCCTGAGGGTGAGGAAGGTACCCCCAGGCGCAGGCACACAGTACAGTGGGGTCAAGCATCTAGCTGACCTAATTAAAAGCTCATTACAGCAGCCCATCCCCATTAACAGGCTGACCCACGTGCAAATCTATTAACACAGGAGTCTTCTCTGCTTCCCAAACCAGGAATCCCAGCCGCAGCCCCGGGGCCTGGAAACTCCGGCCAGTTTATTAAAGTGCCTTCCCCGCCTGTGACCATCAGGTACAGTTTCTTCCTGGATTACTTCACATTCCAGTAAATTAGTTTTATCCGCTCTGAAACATTTTAACAAAGAAAGCTCTCTGGTCATCACATGGGTAAAATAACAAGGGATAAAAGAACGTGTACTTCACCTAATCAGAAAGAACGCTAAATCTTTCTTGAAAATGCAGCCTTTCCTGTCCCGCCACCCTTTTCATTTATCTTAACGCTGGTGGGATTTTGAAATTTTCGTCCATAGTCAGACTATGGTACAGGTCCTCCTTTCCTTGTATTTTATATAATTGTTGCCGACCTCAGAAGGTCTCAAAACTTGTTAAGTATAAAGTTGGTAAATGATACTATTGTTTGGGAGGTGGAGGTGGGGGTGAGGGTGGGGGTGGGGGTGGGGTGGGAGCAGGGGGTTTATCTAGGAAAAAAGAAAAAAAAGGAAAATGCACCCTAACCAGGCTCAAATGAACTGAAATGGATCAAAGTAAACAGAGACATCTAAAAGCTTTTGTAAGTTAAAAGTGGCTATCTGTTGCAGGTCTTGCCTCATTAACCGCTGATTGAAGCTCTGCTTCGCCCTCTGGGATACCTAACACCCCAGGCCTATCACCAGATGAACCCGGCTTAGGCGCTCTTGCCTTTCCCTGTGTTGCTTTGCACAGCTCCTTGACCTCAACCTTCTTACAAATGTTTATCCTTCCTACCAGGCAAAGGGAGAATCTTACCGGGAATCTCACTTCTAGCCAATGAGGAATTTTCAGAAAAGCGAAATGGAAGGAATCATTTTGTCATCTCTGCAAATCTGTATTCTGAAAGGTAGATGCACAGCTGTGGTGTTTTAAATAAGCCTCTACACAACATTATGTAGGGGAAAGAGTCCACAGTTTGTTTTTCCCTGGGTGTCGCCTCATTTTCATGTGTGAATGGTGAAAGGTGGTGATTAGGCCATATGCTTTAAGATATAGCTATCTGTTGGCCCCCATGGTCCCAGCCCGTCACCAGGCCATTCAGCTGGGACAGGGAGCTGAAACTGAGAGGCTGTCTAGGAAAGGCAGAGAGAATGGTAGAAGGGGAGATCTGGGGGAGGAGGGGAGGGAGGAGCAGGGCTCTTTGAGTAGGACCAGATAGGTCTCTGTGTAGAGTAATATTACAGCTCTTTCTCTCATAAACAAGCTGCATGCCTGCTTCTAAAGACCCATCTGGCATAGCTTTGAGAATGGCAATAATTACAAGCTGATGATGGACATGGAAAAAAAGCCCCGCTGAGCTAACTCATAAGGAAGTACAGGCCAGGACTGCGGGGAAATTACAGGCTGAAAACCTTTCTAGTTTAGGCCTTTTGGTGTTCTTAATCACAGACTTTAAATGTTGTAATAAACACTGTTGCATTTTATTGACCAACTCCCATGACAGGCAAATCTTTTTCATTTTATTTTATTTTTACCATTTGCTCTTTGGAAAGCTGCTTGGTAGTATCTACCTGTGCCGTGCCAATGGGTCTTTTGCTTTTCTGTTCGTAGGAAAATTAGGAAAACAAGAGTGACTTTTTATTTAGTTCCCAGAAATTTGCAAATTTTTTTTCTAAATTGTTCTCTGTGTTCTGTGGTTCAGACAGACTTCCAGGCTCGGTGCTTAACTTATAGCTGTGTAAGATAATGGTCTGGTAGTTTCAGTCAGGAAGATTGAAGAGGATTACAAAAAGAAAAACAAAGAGTCAACTTGGGAAGATTAATCTATGATTCTATTCTGTATCATCCAATAGTGTTTATGATATAAAAACAAGTAAAAATCCAAGCTAAATACTATATTGTTAGATTAATGGAATGGTAAGTCCTCGTCTTGTTTTAGAGATAGATAGTCCTTATTTCAAGGATGGATTTGATATTGGAAGGACGATCCTTTTCAAAGTTTTGGAGCTTTTACAAGTAGAACTAAGACATTTTGTCCTCTCAAACATTTTAGACCACTTAATGGAGCAAATACTTTTAGGAAATTATCCTAAGAAGAAGAAAATGGAAACACTGGAAATGAATTTACTTCCCTGAAACATTATTAACCTCAAAATACACAGTTTAAATGTCATAGCAAAGGAAGTCTTCAATATAGCATATTACCAGTTGCTGTTATGAGTTTGACACTGTAATGAGGAAATTTATTCTAATTTAACATATGCTATCAGTCTCCATGAAAAGAATTTGATGTTCATTTTATACATTTTAAAAGTTTGAGGTTAGATATAATGAAGAATCACATGGATTAGGATTTTTATTGATCCTATTAACTTATACAAGTATATTCTTGTTCAAAATATACCTTTTTGGAATTTAAAGCAGAACATGTAAAGTTGGTTATTCTTTAAAGCACTAGATACTGCTTCTGGAACCATATTTTCAAGTGTTTCCTTCTGTGCCACAATTTCTTATTCATATTCCTTAAAGACTTGTATTTTATTCTTTGTGTTTTGTATACAGTCCTTGCTATCCCAGATGGATTATTTAGTTCTATCCTTTGCATTTGATTACTTGTTCAAGCACATAAAGTTTTGGGGTCTATGAAGTTAAAGTAATGAAATGGTTGTGCAATGGAAATTTACCAATGTAAACTTAGTCTCTTGTCCTTTCATAAGCATTGCTTTACCTGAAGCTCCCTTGTCAATGAGAAATTATTTCCTTATATCTGTCTCTTTTCCTGTACAGGCTAGAATTGTTCCTAACAAAAGAAGCATGAATTGGTGAAAACTATATAATAAATACAAGACTATTTGTCTAGTTTTCATTAGGTTGCTGAGTGAAAAGCCTTAATTCCTCTCTTTTCCCAAGGTACTCGGATATCCACGAAGTCCTCCTCATCTCGCACTATCATTTCTCTCACTGGGCACAATCCAGCTTTAAAGAATTCAACACTTACTGGTCTTCAGAGGACTGTCAGCAATGACAGCAACCAGGGATGCTGACATGTCTTGTTGTTTACAAAGGATGAGCACAAGGCCTTTTGGATGATTTGATAAGCTCTGCAACTCCTCTCTCACTGTTTCTCACCTCTCTGGACCAACTGCCTTTGTGTGGTGAGCTAAAGATGCAAATACTAAAACTTGATCTAAACACCGACAAGTCAGCAAACACAGCAGCAAAGATAAAGCTGCTCAAGGCTATTGTGTAAATTGTGAAAACAGAAACAAGAATATTTCAGTCCCTAAATCCGTATATGCAGATCACTTAAAATTGGATGGAAAAAAATCCTGGAATAGCATTAAATTCACATATTATTATTATAGCCTTGAATATTTAATCTGTTTCTCACATTAGCATCCTTCCACTTCTCTAGAAAACCCAATCAATGTTGTAGTTAAACTAAGTAAAAAGATTTTTTTTAAAGTATCCCGATTATACTGTTTCCTATTTAGGGAATTCAGAAATGTCTTGGAAATTATGCAAATGCACATGCTTTTCCTCATTCATACTTTGTAAAGTAAAAATTTCTTTTCAGGAAGGGGACCCTGGGAAGTTGGACCTCCTTTCTCCTTTTCTTTGCCTTTCAGTGTTGAACACATGGAAGAAAGGAAGGTTTCATGTGTTTATATTGTATTTGGTTCAATGCTTTTCTTAAATGATATATAAATATAACTCCACCAATGCATAGAGTTTAGGGGTATTGTCTTTCTTAAATTCTTTGTAATTGATTGAGACAATACTGTTTATCTTCTAAAGGTGTCAGACTATTCCTAGAAATGAGCTCTTGCAAGGTATATGTACAAAAGATTTTTACAGTAGGCTTTTTTGCTCCCCGTGCTATCTGTCTTACAGAAATGTGATTGCTGAAAATATGTGTATGCCACAGTCAACAAAGTGCCTTTTTAAATATTAGCAACTTAAAGCCCACATCAATCATGAAACTATAGCTTGACGTTGACAGTTACAGAAAGGGATTTCATTTTGATTATGAGATAGAATCTTATGAGAATTGGTCACTGCTGACAATCTGGTCCACTCTTTCTGAACAGTTTTCATAAGAAATATGCTTAATCTTTACCAAAATATCTGGCTGTAGAATTAGCTCCATTTCTAAATCACTACTTCCTAGTTACTGACTCTCAGATTGCTGTTAAAAATGGCTATTCCCTTTTCACAGGTGGTGAAACTGAGATTTTCAGATCCATGCAGCTTTATGAAATATATTATGGATGAAATATCAACCCACGTCTATGTGCTTCCAGGTAAGTTTTCCATTTTGCCACACTCTGCTGTGAGCTTAGTCTGAAGGTGGAGTTCTAACTGGGACACTGAGGACAGAAGGGCCCATTAATTGAGACTTTGAACGTGAGAAACAGTGGAATGCAAAATAGCATGCTCACAGCTGTTTTCAAGCAATAGCACTGTCTAAAACCACTGGGAATGAATAGACCTATGTGGCTAGAAATTGATGCAAAGGAAGAATATTCACTCTGGGTCAGTTTTTGAACCTGTAGAATTAGCTAATATTGTTGATTTTGCTCATGGCTGCCTCTCTGGTATGTTGGAGGCAATTTCCATCTTCCTAAACATGTTAAATGCATTTTGTGATTTTAGCAGGCTAAAGTGTTAACTCTTGTTTAAATATCTATATTTAGCATTACTCATAGAAGTAACACAATTACCTTCTTTTCCATACAGAGAGATTGACTTTTACAGAAAAGTATTCAAGGAATTCATTGGACCATTATGTTAGGGACACTTATTCATCAATACCAGATACAGAGTTGATAAAGATTTGTGCCCTTATGGGATGTACTATTCATATACTATTATTATTGTGGCCTTGAATATTTAATCTGTTTCTCGCATTAGCATTCCTATCCACATATAGATTGGACTTACTAGTGCAATTTCTAGCAAAATGAGAATGTTACCAGTAATCATCACACAAAGAATGTCATGGTAAATCAAGGCTCAGAAAATGATATGCTACCTAAGGGATGTAGCACTGTGCTTCTACCCTGCTTCTTTTCAAGCCCAGTTACACCAGTTTCTCTTATTGTTTCTTCTTTAGTCTGGCTGTGGCATTCAGATATTTGTTCAGCTCCAGGTTTTGTTATTTCTGTTTTTTGTTTGATTCTGGCTTGAGCTTGTGGGGAGTAATTGTGTAGTTTAAGGTCCTTCTGCATCTAGCTCATCTTGAATCCATGTGTCATTTTCATGACTGGGTTTTGAAATTTCTCAAATAAATGCATTGGTCTGCCTGCCTAGCGTTTGCATATTTCAGGCCTCTATCTGCAAAGAGAAGAGGCCATGAGATCTGCTAACACGCAAAAAGAAGATAAAAGCTTTTTAAAAAATGCCTTCTTGCACACAGGCCTGCTTTATAATAAACCAGAGCAGTGCAGGAATTAAAATGCTGTTGAAATGCCAAAGTGTTTCTGCCCTTTTATTACATCTAGGGTGATGAGGTCATGGCTTACTGTTTAGCTTATATGGTACAATTAAGAGATTCGTTTCTTAATGTGATTCATCTCAGGAAGAGTTGAGTCAGAAAAGTTTTAGGGGAGTGGCAAGACTTATATGAGGAGATTTAGAAAAATTATGATTTTCTTCTGGAAGTTTGAGTTCATTTTTTATTGCAGGTAAGAATGAGGAGAGCTGTAATGAGTCTGTCTTGGATTTCTGAGTAACAGGGAGTTGTTGTTTTGAGACAGGATCTCACCCTGTCACCCAGGCTGGAGTGTGGTGCTATGACCATGGCTCAGTGCTGCCTTGACCTCCTGGGCTCAGAAGATTCTCCCACCTTAGCCTCCCAAGTAACTGGGACCACAGACAAGTGCCGCCATGCCCTGCTATTTTTAAAAAATTATTTGTAGACGCAGGGTCTTGTTATGTTGTTCGGGCTAGTGGAATTTGATTACTTAATGCTAATAAGGCTAAAGAGGTGCTTTGGGTTTTGGCTTTTTTCTCCCCCTTTGGAATTAGGGCAAAAAAGTGAAATAAATATTTATTTTATTAAGATATCATTATATCTTTATGTGTAGACATGTTTAAATAAAATAGTATCTCAGATATATAATAATATCTGGCCAGGTGTGATGGTTCACGCTTGTAATCCCAGCTCTTTGGGAGACTGAGGTGGGAGGATCACTTGAGGCTAGGAATTTGAGATCAGCCTGGACAGCATAATGAGACTTTGTCTCTACAAAAAATAAAAAAAGTTTAGGCAGACATGGCAGCGCACACCTGCAGTCCCAAACACTTGAGAGACTGAGTTGGGAGGCTTGCCAGAGCCCAGGTGTTGGAGGCTGCAATGAACTATCATTGCACCAGTGCACTCCAGCCTAGGTGACAGAGCG